AAATAGGTCATCGTATGATTCACAAGAACATTAATTGCAGATAGTGTAACCGCATTTATTAATAACGTAGTGCAAGCGCAATGGCATCACACTCATCGTTAATCGAATAAGAGCAATATTAGGAATACTGTATTACTTATTTAATTTGCCTGTGTAAGGTTGATGTTACAAAAACATGTCAGTAATAATATACTTAACCACGTTGTTGCTTAATCAGTTTACAAAGTTCAAAGCTCTTTAAACGGTTGCACCAAAGCCGTTATTAGATACTCAATATCTCACAAAGACTGTCGTACATATTTGTACTTACTCAAACATAGGTAATGAGACAAAGTTTGACCTTTCACAAAACTCTCTCATATGTGATTTAGACCATTTTGCACCCAAGTGCCAAGATGCTGCAAGCTCATTCTCAGTTGCTTTCTAACTCTATATAATTCGAGTGTTTACATGGTGTCACAAGATACGTACTTACTTAACTACTACACCTCCTTAAAAAAAAGTAGTCGAGGTTCATATTATTGTAAAGTATCTTAAAATCAACATTAATTCCATACGCTTACGCATACGCATACGCTGAGTATAAGTATTAATGCTGTCCTTACTCCGTATACACCATAAACTCCACCATTTTAATTGGAGTATCAAATCTTTACCTACATCGATTTAAAGTATACTACTTTTGATGGTTCTTATTTACGTTGTGCATTAAACTACATATATAAATGTGATGAGCTTCAATGTCGACAGCGTGTGATGGTCGGCCACTCCTCTGTCCACCCACCAACGGCGGCGGCGCCGGCGCTAGGCCGTGGGAGCCGGCTAACCAGATTGTTTGTTTATTCTCGCAGGTGACCTGCACGTGACTCACCCGATACCGCAAACTCATCAGCTAACACGCCCTGTATCGCATAGCGGGATTCTGCTATATTATACCTGATTCGGGCTCATAATTAGACCATAATAAAAGCTAAAAAGTAAAGAAATGGAATCGTAATCAATTTCCCAATAAGGAGCGACACTAAACCATAACAACTATTCATATTAAGCGTCTCTTTCCGAAAATAAAGAGTTGGTATAAACTAGGATAACAAACAATTCCCTAGACGAGACAGCCGCGCGGTCAAAATAGACAACGAGTTTGAGGTAGAATGTGCCGAAATAGAACCCCGCCTCCGAGTGCGACCAAAAGCAGTCAAGTTAAAATTAGAGCGATTCCCGCAGGGACGTTTTCATCCGGTGATTCACCTGCTGAAAACTCGATTGTTCGCATTTTACGTCAATCGGTTGCGTGGTGTTTACGATGGCCGGCGAGAGCGGCGCGCGGCGCAGGAGCGTCAGCTGACGGCCAGGAATAGCCCTGACATCGCGGCCACGCTATGCCGCCTGCGCCCGCGCACCCACAAATAGCATGCTATAATTAGACGGCGGTGAAATCGTGGGTTTGTTATTTTTCTTTATCGTCTCCGTTACGCGATAATTGGGTTAGCGGCTGCATGTGGGCCCGGGCGGCGTCGGCGTGTCTCGCCACTCCACCACCACGCACGGCCATTGTCCTGCCTGCATGTCTATCAATCCCCTCAACCTTTCTGAGTAAGCATCTCAAGGAGGAATTACTTCTTGAATAACTTCGTTATCAGTTGCACAGATGAATATTGAAATAACACCACTGCCTGTATTGGGAAGTTTTTGTATTTACGATAAAATTTAAATATTTACTTGGGCTCTACATGCAAATAAATATATGATAGGAACATTCTATTAAATCGTAGACTTATGTAAACATCTACATACAATACATCTAATGGACAATGGAAATAAGATTCAATATAGGGTTTTTTTTTGTGATATGATTCGGATTTAACTAACTGGACGGTAAACAGAAATCCGATGGTACAGCACTTAAAACGTCGTCTAACTTTCATAGGTGAAGGTATCTCTTGGCGATTATTGTCTTTTTATCGTTAATGTCGAGTCCACTTTGTTTATAGTTTAGCATAAATAGTGGCGACCGTTTAGTGCCTTGATCTTGGTCCAAATGTGGCCGTGGTCGCCTCCCACACGCGGTGCCTACGCCATGACTAGGCCAATTACATGTTATTACAGCCTGTTGCTTATTAACACGTTTACATCTTAGCAGAATAATCATATATTTAGTGTCACATATTTATTTCCAATAATCTCTACGTAGTATTATTATCATTAATTTCATTTAATAAAAAATCAGTTGAATAGGCTCTACAAACTATAAAGTCGAACTACCGTGAGACACAGTGAAATTTTCGTAAATACTACAGGTATTCCATACCGCTTACAGTATCGCTTAATGAAATAGGATATGTAATTGTTATATTGTTAACATATTCATGATAAGACAATAACTTACTATTATAATTTATGTTAAACTTAATAATTAATAGCAATTGTTTTAAAATTCGCCGTCAAAATGTAGATATCCAAAGATTTGGCGTCAATATCGGTAAAATATAATGATTGTTTTATTAGGTATACCTACTTGTGCCAACTTTCGTAAACCATATTTTAAGCAAACCATATTTTAAATATCATTCATTCATACAGTATGTATTTTGCTATGCGAAGGAAAATACATAAAAAGTTTGAATAGAAAAAAGAATTACATAAAATAAAGGCTTACCTAATTATTATGACAACATATAATGAAAGTCAAAGTACTGCTGTTCTGAGCTTGTACCAGCAACAATTTAGAAGAATTTATATCGAATAAATATGCAATAGTAACATAGACCTACCAAAAATAAAAACAACTACAAAAAACTACAAAGTATAAAATAAAACATGTTTAGGTATAATTATTTATTACTGTAGGAGACATTCATTTCAGTGTGTGTAAATGCTTAACTCAACAAAAGTAATGTTGCAAAAACAGACATTTATCTAGATAGACGCCGCAAATGTACGTCGTGTACTTCGCGTGGCCAAAGTAAGTGAAATTCACTTAGTTGCCGCTGCTACACTTCAGGACGCGCTTGACCGTTATCGTGGATAAACCACCAGTCGAAAACGCGAAAAATGCATGATTGTGACATTATAAACTGCAAAGGCACCATAACTATGGGTAAACAGGTAAACAGGGACGTTTCCTACCACAGGCAAGTGATGTTGTAATCAGAAGACGCACAATTTATTTTAAAAACAATTATTTTGGTTTTATATGAATACAACGAGAAAACAAATATGCAACCGAGTGTATACCTTATGTTTGTAATACATTGCGGCTTTTACTTCGTGCGATATATTTGTGATCCTTTGTTAATACGCCCATGAATATCGAACTAACGCACTTTTGTATAATGCATTCAGTTTCGTGGTACGGCCGCTTGTACATTTCTTTGGCCAAATTTAACATTTAGTGATGTATACGTTAGGCAACACCGTTCTCGATTCTGATCGATTTTGAAAACAAAGGGACGAAAATTATTGTGACCTTAGCAATATTATAAAATATTCTATAACACTTAGTAACGTTTCGTTTTTTTTTTCAATTTTGTAGTATACGTATATTATCAGTAGTATCTGTAATTTCGATAATTTTTGCAGCGCGTTGCCTCGAAAGTCCGAACCTAGTGAGCAAATAATTACATACATCGCCGGATATGTAGTACAAGTAATACGATAAAAATATATTTATGCAAAGAATTAACAGTGCGCTGTCTTTACAAAAACCTGGAGTTGGTCATACGTATGAGTTCGTTGCTTTCGAGGACGAAGGTGGTTTAGTTTATCCCACCTAAGATGCTATCCAAATATGCAGAGTAGTAGTAAAAAGTTCGCACGAGGCCGTCATTAAGCAAAGCTCTTCTGAGTAATAAGATTTTACCATATTTTGTCAGCAGTAACATTTTCATTTGTCTTGCCATTCATCAATTTGATCAATTATTAACAGAAATGCATCAAGTAACATTAATTCAGGCATTTCCATTTGCGTGCATTGACGTGCGTTTTCATTGTTTAAGTTAATCGATAAGATCTTCTATTATAAAAAGATGTTATATAATAAGCTCATTTTATTGGAAGAACAATAATTTTAACATTTGAAGTCGATTAAAAATTAAAGTCTCTATTTTATTTAAGTAATCAACATTTTTTTTTAATAAGTAAATTAAAGGACTTAACTATCTTATTCTTGTAATTTTTTTTTTTAATTTCTACTATATTCATACTACGAGTATTTATAATCAACAAATACTTGAACAAAAATTATTCTATTTAGAATCGATTAATTGAATTGAACTTGAAAAATTGAACGTGTGTTTACGAGTATTCCGTTCAATCAATCGATTTAGAGCGAGCGGAAGGAGGTTTCCATCACTAAATAGTTCTTGTGACGTCATAGTGGATACAAAAAATGCGGCATGCATGGTTTTCATACAAATTGCTGTACTTGCAGCATCTATCTAGATATATGTCTGTGGTTGCAGATAAACAAGACGCCTACGTGAAAACCATTGCCTACATGAATACCTGTCCATAATATATTTCGAGAGATACACTTCCTTATGTATTGACATAGTACAATTCCTGCTTTAAATCTAACAATAATATTTAGCACAAAATCTACTAAAACAGACCCACAAAATCAAAATCTACTAAATCCAGAATTATGTAAACAAAAATAGGTGGTTCTCTATCCTGAACTCTATCATTCAATTATGTTATCGAACCTGTGGATATTGCAGTCCATCTCTAACAAGTCGTTTAGTCAATAAACGGTAGACGAAACTACAATAATAATAACATCTACTTAAAAATTCATTGTCCTTGTAAGTTTAAAACGGAAACTAAAGCTGTAGCACAGAATCGTTTCTGTTTGTATAATTTGCGAGAGTACGCGGGCCCGGAAACGCAGCGCCTATTGGCACGAGTCAAAGAGCAGCGGGAGGCTCCTCGGCACGAGCCGAGCTGGTCGCCCGCGTGGCGGGAGGTTGGAGGCCGGGGGGCGGCGCGGGCGGTGGGCGGCACCGGGCGGTGACGTCAGCGCGGGGGGGCTCAGAGCTGCGCGATTGGCAGACGTGCGCGCGCTGCTACCGAATATGGGACCGCGGCTCCATTGATAAAACTGCGGTGCGGGGTCGCGCGGCGCCAGTCCCCTTCGCACCGGCCACGCGAGAGGCCGTCTTCACGCTGGCGTTGTTCGTTATTCCGCTTGGCCCGTGGGCCGAAGAGCAGGTGGTGCCGGACGGGATGGGCACGGATTCGGAGCCCCCGGCCGGCCCGCACCTGCTCTCGCTAGCCGACGTGGGTGTGCTAGGATTCGACTGCGCTCTTAAACCGGCGCCCTTGCACAGCTCGGGAACCTCGCCGACGGACCTCAACACGCCCGTCACCACATCAGATTTACCCGCCTTCTTCCCCAGCCTGCTCGAGCCGCCGCCTATATCAGGTGGGTGCCGCGTGTATCAGGTGTCGTGGTTGTACCACGTCTTTGCCTTCGCCGCCCCGCGTGGCACACACTCTATCGCAATACGGGATCGTAGGCGGAACTCACCCCACTGGCTGCCGACCGATAACGCTGTAAATAAACAATTATTCTCCTTGCGGCCTCGCGTCCTTTGACGCCCTTCACGGTTTACAGTGCACCGTTCTGTGATTTCCGTTTATACTCGTAAAAGTAAACGGAAATATTCGTTTTAATACATATAAAACAAAATAAAGTGATAAAGTTAGGAGCAAAATTTGTGTGGTTATAGTTTAATGTGAAATGGAAAGTCCGTCGTCCCGTGCCATATGACCGGATCGATACATAAACCTGAATGAAATTTCATTGTGATTTCACCGACGCGCCATCTACCCGGGTAGTCTACCGTGCTCATACCGTCCACTTAAGTGCTTCAGGTGTTTCTTGAACCTTCGTTCATTGATAACATTGACTCCAGTTGGGTAAATATGTCAAACGCTTTGATCAAAAAAATGTTCTACTTATAATTCTGTATTATTTGAATGAATATTTATTCGGGAGAGTTCACAAAATATATTGACTATATTACACAGTATTGATATAGCTTTTACATGACTTTGCCCATAAATGCCCGACGTAGCTTGTCATGTCACAAAACATTTCTAGAAATAAAAGCGGTTTGGTTCATTAAAGAGATAAAAACTGTTCGTATTTCCAAACAAGTGATATTTAATTATTCTCTACTACAAAATATATAAACAATTAATAAAATTATATCAATGTTTAGTAAACAAAAATTTTAAATATTTTTCACGAATTGCTTACCATAAAATGCATAATTATCTTGTTGAAATCTAATACTCGAAATTTTTTATGGGCTATAAAAATATTCTTGGGCATGATAAAACTTAATTGAACGCTAATTTTAAAAAACGCATAAATTGTATAGGTAATGGTTACTGTCGACACTGGACACTTGCCACGATGATAGTGTAACGATAGGCGCGTATCGGCTTCCGGCGGGTTATCGCGCATGCGCTGCCTTCCGCCCGGCGGCCGACGCGGTGTCGCGCGCCGCTCCTGGCCCGTAGCCCCGCAGACTACCGAATTTAACAACCAATACTTATCTGGCACACAGATTCTTCAGTAATTTTCAATATAGTAATAGACTTGGTGTTGTTTATATAACTATATAATTATTATTTTAATTTTACATTTTTTGTATCTGGGTAAATGTGCGTAAGAATGTACCTACATAGCATTTACAAATGTCTCTCGGTTGTTACAGGTACATTACCAGGCGATGAACTATCGTTAGGATGTTCTCCCAGAAGACATAAACACGAATCTTCGTTATCTCCTGGCGCACGCGCCGAAGATGCGAGCAACACATCGAGCGCGAGCGCCTCGCTGTACGGCCCACCGGCCGGCAGCAAGCGCGCACCCAGCCCGCCGCTGCAATGGCTACTGCCGCCTGGACCTGGCCCCGGAAGTGTCGACAAATACTTCCAGGACGAGTACGAGCAGCGAGTCGAGCTGCTGCCGCCCGAATGCCAACCAGTATACTGCACGCCTGCACAACAGTGTCCCGCGCCGCAACATTGTGAATACCGGCCACCACCACCGCAGCCGCAGCCACAGCACTCGTGGGATACCCAGGAGTACACCGCCCCACCCCAGCCCACACCTGGACCCTCGGGTTTGCCAAAGCGCGAGCCCTATCCCAGCCCCGTCAGCGACCGGCCAGTTCAGCTTGCCGAGTACAACCCCTCCACAAGCAAGGGCCACGAGATCCTATCACAGGTGTACCAACAGAGCGCGCAGCCGCTTCGCCTTGTCCCAGTCAAGCCCAGAAAGTACCCTAATCGTCCCAGCAAAACTCCAGTCCACGAGCGACCTTACGCGTGTCCCGTTGAAGGTTGCGACAGGCGATTCTCCAGGTCGGACGAACTAACGCGGCACATTCGCATTCACACCGGCCAGAAACCGTTCCAGTGCCGAATCTGCATGCGATCCTTCAGCCGATCGGACCACCTGACGACGCATGTGAGAACGCATACGGGGGAGAAGCCTTTCGCGTGCGACGTATGTGGGCGAAAGTTTGCGCGCTCAGACGAGAAGAAGCGGCACGCAAAGGTACACCTGAAGCAGCGGCTGAAGCGCGAGCGCGGAGGTGCCTCGCAACATGACCACGGGCATCTCTAGCGCTCGGTGCCGGCGGGCGAGGATGGCCCCAGCGGCGCCAGCACCGTATCTGGCTCCCCGGCCTCCCCGCTAGCGGCCGAGCCATCACTCCGCTCCTCCCAATCTGCAGAAGATTGAACTTTACTACTTTTTCACGTTGAAGTTATCAAATAATTTCATCGCTTAGGTGTAAAAGAACGTCTTTAACGAAGCTTTATTAACTCTAAATTCACTGAATTTTATATATCTTTTTATACATATTTGTAAATATTACGTTAGGACATGATCCGCTCGATGTATTTATTTTGTTTAGATAGGCTAATTGAATGAACTCGACTGGGAACAAACGTAGATATGAAGCGATACGGCCTAAGTGTCCAGTGTCGTAGTTGTTTCTGTGAGAGAGGACAGACACGTCTTCCGCGCACCCTTAGTGGCCGCGGCGCGAGTCTCAGCTCAACCGTACGTTGCTATAGTCTCTGAAGTAACGTAGCGTGAACACATATCTTTCTTCTGGCGATAGTCCAGTAGCTAAGCTTAAATTGACTCTCGTATTACGTCGATCATTCATACGTTAAAAACTTGATGTGAATGCATTATTAAGTGATGGTGGACAAGTGATATGAATAAGCCTATTCACAGCAAAACCTAGTTAGGGAATATTTATCACCCTAACAAGAAATCTGCAAAATTACATGTTTATGTAACTCAAGAGATTGTTATCAAAATTGAAATGGTAAATGTTTCCTAACGGAGTCTTCTGTCTGTCATAAGTACATATTTTATAATTAATATTCTTATACTTGACAAAACTAACGTGAAACTGTGCCATTATTTAACTTTACAACGTGCCACTGCAGTTTTTATTTAATACTAAGATAACACGACTGCTGATTAAGTGATAACTATTATTATATTTTGTTTTGTATTTCTAGTCGAAGATTATAGGGTGTGAAATGTCGACTACTTCGTATTATGTTTACAGTAATAATGATTATGTGCGTACATCTTTACAATGTTTTTCGACAGCTGCTGTCATGGTTTTCTCTTGCTCAAATTTAATTTAACTAAATTGCTCAATTCCGCTTCGTTTAGATTAATTACGTTCGCGTTTCTGTTATATATTATTTTCCTTTGGCTTTCAGATTCTTTCCACTTCGCGTTGAGGCACTTGTTGCCATGTCATTTCACTAACGTTGCGTTCCCTCAGTGGCATATTCTTTTGTATTGAGCGTATTATTATAGACTAATCTAGGAAATAATAGCGTATAGCGTTTATGATCTCTTAATCATTATTAATTATTTTGGAGGTAGGCAAAGGGCCCTATTTATAATACTCATAAGTTTTGTATAGATACATTTAGTGTAAGATTCATTTTAGGATTCAGTCACTGTGATTACATTGTTGCGCAATTCAGGATTTAACGTTTGAGTGGTAGGTGACCACCGTTATTTATTATAGATACTTATTAGAGATTCGTGAGTTTCTTTAACATTTGTCAATCGTTTTGGGCGTTAATAATTTCCTACAAGAGTACAAAGTAAAGCACAAATTGCTTATAAAGTTGATTATTAAACGCCTATTTCTAGAGTGTAATGAATGTTTCAAAATTGCCTTCTAGTTATGACACTATTGCAATTATGATGTTCAGTAGTTTCATACGATGAATCAATTTTAGATGTCATTGTTCATAATGTAATTAATTTATTTGAAACATTTGCGCATTAATAACTGATTGTTTACACAAAAGAAAAAAGTTATGATTAAACTGTCACCGTACAAGCAGTGATATAAATACAACAGGGTGGGCCTTTCAGCAATGTTGGTCATTATGAATTTAGGATATCTGACAATAATATTACTAACTCTTGCGCCAACAATTCTTACTGTATATGAAAGCGGGACTCGCTTCATTGCTATCCGTTAGTGTCAAAGTTACATGGGCATTATTTATAGTTCTAAGGGTCGTATTCTATTCAAGTCAGGATATGAGTATGGTTTAAAGCACTCGAAATCATGCTCAAGTCCCTGCCATTAGGGTCGTATTTCCAGTGCTTGTGTTTCAAGTGCAATCCTGACTTGAGCATTGAGTAGAGTTCTAGAATACGACCCTTCGTGTTGCACTTGTACAACATTCATACTATTCAAACGTTGCCACTGTAACCGTTCTCACTTCATTCACTTACAAAGCAAATCGCCACAAAAACAACAAGGTACTTTAAGAATGTGGTGTACGAGTTTATAATGTTTTTACTGTTATAGGAGAGACAAAAGTCTCCGATAGACAAGGCTAGCGTAGATAGGTTTTATTAAAGAGTTTTCATGTTAGTAGTCAAACGAGTGACGATTGTAACGAAGAAGACTTAAAAATTCTTAACATTTTACGTATGTTGCATCGCGTTATCCTTATTGATATACGACGTTTGTATTTAGGTTACGTGTTGCGACCTACCCATTGTTTGTTACCTAAGCTGCGAGCGCGCACCGGAGCGTTAGTGGCCCTCTGCTGGTGCCCCGGTGCGGGAGCTCTATACATTTCACTATCTAGAACTTAGTCAACTCTGTGAACGATTATTACTTGGTGGTGTTCACCTGTAAAGATTAAATAGGGACTCTACGAATTTTGTGCATGGTTATTATTTAAGCTGTCTTACGTGTTTCACCAGAGTGAAAGATGTTGTTGATGTTCTAAAATAGTTGATGTAAAATTTAAAATTTAGGTATTGTTAAATCTCACTAATTTTTACTAAATTCTATTTAATATATTTGTAAATACACCTTGACTAAATTTGGATTTAATGTGTATATAAGAGAAAAAAAGAAATTTTTATTTAATATGAAAATCACCTCAGGTGAGAATACAAATTGTTGAAAAACTTTGACTTCGTTGTTTATATTTACCACCCCCTATCTACATATATATTATGTTAAGTGTCAAGTACCAGAATGAAAGTTACGAGTAACAGAGCGACCTTAATTCTTAGTAAAACTGTCGTAAATTGGCAACAAAGTGGTTAGGCTACTGCTTTGATTAAATATAGAAAAAAACGAACACAATATTTTATTGGCACACGTATTGAATACCGCTCGTATTTACTATTTTTAAGTGGAAAAGTCTCAACTTTTGTCACTAAAAATCCTACCTTCTGGTATTAGATATTAACATCAAACTTTGTTGTGCTGTTGTTTTTATACCACAGACGTGAAAATTGGAAAAATTTTTTACACTTGAGCGCCTCATATGTATGTATATTTTAAAAATATTATAATAACCAATTTACTTAAAATGAAACTAGACGAAAACAGTAAATTAAATAAAATTTTCAAACTTTTATAAATCTTTCGGACAATTACCACGATTTCATTAATTTATAAATTACTTTTAGTTCTAAAAATAATCATGTCGATATTTTATATCTGCAACGAATAAAAGGCTATCATTGGGCTTAGTCAAATTTTAATATTTGTTCATCGGGATCATTAACTTACAATTATATGGACGTCGGGTCCGCGCTAAAAAGTGTCCGAACTTATAGGGCGTTAAAATCGTATACAGAGCGTCATTCACGCTTTAGTCTTCGTTTGTTCGACTGACAGCAAAGCAAGCAAAATTAGACAGTACTGCGATGACATTACAATTTAAATCTAACGTTTTAGCTTTTCCATATTCCTTTACATTTGTCACTACGTTTAAATAGGTTGACTTGGGACATTTTTTTCGTGGTTTTGTATTAGACCCGTCGTCCATTTATTTGTAAGTCAATGATCGGGATTCACAAAATCGTCGAGAGAGCGGTAGAGCAAACAATAAAACGTTCTCTAGAACTATTAATACCACTAGCGACATCTACCGAACTTTGAGGTAAGCTCCACAAAATAAAACAGACGAGACTTGATACTAAACATGCTTGCTTTAAAACAAACAGCATTTCTGGAGACATGGCTTCCGACAGTAGCAAGATAATGGAGTTAGTTCGAGCAAAAAACTGTAGATGGCGTGCTAACTAAAAATTAGGTATGACGATCACATAGACATAACTACTCACAGCTTGAGATATTCACTCACTACCATAACACTCGCAAAAGAAAATAAGGGAATACCCAGGAATACCTGAATTCCAAATGAGATTTTTCGTAGAATAGTTGACTAACGTACGTCACCACTTATGTTAATTTTACAAAGAAATTATAAATTTAGTCTGTCAAAATGATATCTAATTACAAATTAACCATGTAGATTTTTTAAATAAAATAGATCTTACAATTAAAAATAAAATAAAAGATTATCCAACAAATAATAATTTAATTCGTAAAAAATTAGCACATGAACAAAATCTTCTCGGATCATACATTAAAAATACAAAATAGTTTTAGAAGCAGAAAACAAACGGTATTTAACCCGAAAATGTTAAAATAAAAGGAAATTCATCAAATAAAATAGAAAGTACATGTTAAAATAAACGCTTTCATTACCAAATAAAAATAAATTCAATGTTGGTTACAAAGTTGCAAAACATTTATTGAACAAAGTTATATATAGGTGACCCGTAAATGTCTGCGAGATTCATAGAGAGGATTGTACCTGTCAATCGAATAACTTTTACTGTAGGATGAATCTGCTCTTCCTTAGGGTCGAGTAGGTATAAACTATAAACGTTAGTAAAAATAATGATTGATAAGTAATATAACCCTTATTTAAGAATCACCTGTATAGGGCACTAGAAATAAAATAAATATAATATTCACACGGCGAATTATGAAATCGTAACAAATTGCCACTCAGTCCCTCCCAGTCACGTGCTCTTTAATTTTATAGACACTCGTCTCTACGCAACTTCATATAGCACTCACTTTTATAAAAATAATAATAATAATTACAAACGGAATAATAAAACTCTTAAAAAAGGACCTTCTAATAGCACTATGTACAATGGCAAAACCTCGAGGACAAGGCAAATTATAAATACGAATAAAATTTCAGCCGGCCGTATCATATCAGTAGTTCAATTGTAGTATCACTGGAATGATACAATCACTAATCATGACTATAAAGAAAATCACAAAACACTAAAGATACCACAACTAAACTTCTTATAATAATTTGTCATATCGAATCCCTAATTGCGAACCTAAGCACCCAAATGTGTTCAGTCTTAATATTTTAAGCAAGGTAGTCTAGTCACCAATCAATGTCTACTTAACATAGACTATGCATACAAAAATATACTTCATACTCTATAGGCGCCGGGTACGCGTCAATTTACAATTCCACTGCGTGTACTTTGAGTGCGATATAGTCGAGGGGCAACACTCGCAACAGGAGACTAGAGCGAATGAAAGAGTAGGAGTATCGCGCAACACCATCGTTATGGGGCCTCCTCGTCTTGTTTGACGAGGTTGGGTTCCGACTCGGAGCGGCGCTTGAGGCCATCGGCGTCGGGCGAGTGAGGCCGGTCGGGTTCCGCGGGCTGCGCGGCATCACCCGCCGCCGCCGCCGCCTTGATGTCTGGCGCGCTGCGGCTCACGTCCACCTTTACCAAGTGTCATTAGGACATAAGCGATTCAAATAGTACATTACATAACCAGTTCCTCAAGGCATTTGTAAATAAAAAAAACTGAGCATTTTCAATACGTTAATTCCACCCTTTCAATTACTCATATTTGTGTTTTAGATAAATAATATAATATAAATACAAAATATAACCACTATAATATTTGTATAAAGAATAAAACCACTACACCCACACGCTGTAGTACAAAGAACGAACAATGCTTTTTTTATAATTGGATAAAATCAGGAGATGAATGTAGTAATGATGTAATTAATAAAGAAATATATAAGTGATAACAATTTTATTTAATAATAATAATGATATTTTTTTTATATGATTGTGGGTTCACAATCATATAAAAAAATACCATTATAATATAATATAATAATATAATAATGCTAGATCTGAACGAATGCATTATTATAATTTAGGCGATGGGTGAACGTGCCTAAACGCGAGAGTGAGAGGGAAGAAGTGTGCAAGAGCGAGGGGTGATTCGAAATTAAAGAAGAGAAAACGAGCGCGCGGGACTTTTGTTTTTATGGACGGCGCCGAGACGTGATGCCGACGTTATGTTATGTTGAAGCAGTAAGAATAAATAATTTTTCATTTAACCCTTTTCTTTGATTGATCCCGCACGATTATCGACAATAAATTATTATTAGTTGACAACAGGACCTGGACCTACGAAAAGGTATACATGCTAGGATAAGGTTTTGGAAAAGTGAAGTAGTTAGAACAGGCTTTGTAACAATTTTATAAAAATGATGGGGGATTTTGAGATTACACGTCCTTAAGATTTTGTTCGTCGTTGTAATAAGATCAGATTACGATTACGACGTACAATTTTATTTTAATTAAACATTTTTTTCTATTCTGTATGAAATTACAATTTATAATAATTTTAATCAAATGCCATATACATTGCTTAGTATTCTACATTTATACATTCTTTTACGTATAAAGACATAAAAGTTAGTTCACATTTTCTTTAGAAATAAATGTCCTACCGTTGTACTACCGATCACAGTCAATGGGGTAGCTGTTAATAGAGAGTTTTAATTTAAGTATCTAGGGCGTTTAATTAAGCCTGATCTCAGAGACAATGATGACATGGAGAGGGAGCGTAGAGCTTTGTCAGTAAGGGCTAATATGTAGGCCTAGTATGTTGGTTCACAGATTTGCTCGATGCTCTGCTGCAGCTAAGATAACTCTTTTCAAGGCTAACTTCCTCTCTGTTCTTCTGTTCATCTTTTTACGCGAACAGCCTGTGGTGCCGACATACACAAAAGTCGTACATTGCTCCCCGCACCCAATACAACCATGCTTTTCTGCCATAATACGGTAGAAAATCGCTTCTCTTTTAAACTGATTTCGTAATAGTGGCAACAGCATCTTGAAAATGATTGCTGAGAAAGTGGAGGGACCTCTCATAAGGAAAGTCAAAGAATTTACGTGATCTTAGTTTAAAATAATTTACTAACATAGTTTATAAGTCTGTTACTAATTTAAATAAATGGATTTACGTTGACCGAAAATAAATGAATTAAATTAAATTTAGTTTATAAGTTTACTTAACAAAAAATTTAAAAAAGAGCTAAGATAGATAAAATACACAAGCACGGTAAAAAAAAACCATATGGTACACTAGCTCTTAAATGTACCACTCATTGCATGAAAAATATTATATCCTACTACTATATTAGAACGTAAATTCTGAACGTAAATTTGAAAAAACAAATATACGCGATTTAAATCCGGAAAAATAGTTTCATTTCCTATGTGTAACAATCGCGAAAACCTAAGAACTCGATACGTAAATTCTCATTATCCCAAAAACTTAACCTAATAATCTCAGTATAGAGTACTAAAAAAAACGACCTCAAAAGTTCCTGGAATTACATCTATTTGCCAATTTTTATTGAGATCATGGGACCAGTACTGAGTTACTCTCTTTTCTAACAAAGAAATCCATCAAATGCCAGAGTAATCGCGTTACCCAAACAAAAATACAGTCGAATTGAGGACCTCCTTCTTTTTGGAAGTCGGTTAATAAAAGACTCCTCCAGTGTGATCTTTGCATGCATAGATTTTTATTGCGTCTCTTGTCTTCGTTACTAGCTCGGACCTATTCTTAGCATTATGCTAATAATCATAACTTTTTTGCATAAATAAAACTGCCCTTTAAAGTTTGTGGAATTACATCTATTTACCAAGTTTATTGAAATCGGTTACCGGAAAGTGGGTGAAATCCAATAAACCAGATTCATCACCTAATTTTGCCACCCTTAGAGGTATATTTTCTTCAAATTTGCATGGGAACACCACTGAGGTACTCTCCTTTCCAATAAAAAATAATCATTGAATGCTATTCACAATGTAAGCGTAATCACGTAACAACCACGCAAGAAAATACAAACGAATTGAAAACCTCCTCCTTTTTTAAAGTCGGTTAAATAACTTACCAAATCTGGTTCAGCATATAAGTAATCTGTAGGCTCTTGCTTAACTTGTGCGTTCATCTTGTCGTTCAGGTAACACACACCATTAAGATCGATGGCGCTGTTGGAGAATATAGCGGCTGCACCCACTGACGCGTCCACTAATGGTTCGACCTGCAAACAAACCGAACCGTAAATCAAATTGTATATGATAAGCGATTTATCTATTGTGTATTATACACTTGCTATACTTATTATATCGTTGGTATCGAATCGCGCAAATGGACCTAAACTGTTCAGTGCAGCTATCCAACAGAAAAGAAGTTCTATAATAATTTTAGTTAAGAGCTGTACTTATTTTAGTTCTTGTACTACATGCCTATTATACGGCATGTAGTACGGAATGTAACTTAAATATTTAAAAACAAAAAATAAATAGAAAAAAAACGTGTTTGATAATTTATTTTTTTTAATAAATTTTACGTATACACCGTTTGGCTGAGGACAAAGAGCCACCGAAAATATCGAAAACATTTCGAATACAATTATAGTCACTACACATTCTATACAGAGGAGAATGATTACACTTACATGCAGGCAGAGCAAAGGTTTTCCGATTTTGTAATCGGCTACCTATCCGAGGGAGAGAAAACTTAACATGCTCCAAAATATCCGGTGAATCAATGTGGCCATGGATTAACTTATATAAAAACATGATGTCTGCAATTTTCCTGCGCATATGTAAAAAAGACCGTTATGGTTGACACGCGACTGATAAGAGAGAAGCTGTTTACACATGTTATCAGAGTACGCCAAATGGTACAAGAATCGCTTCTGCACGAGCTCCAATCTATTGGAATAGACCTGGTAAACCTGGATTCCATACTGGACTACAATATTCCAGGATACTTCGCATTAAGGAGTTGTAAATAATTACGGTGAGTTGAGGCTCCTTCAATATTTTTATCTGTCGAATACTAACCCAGACAGTCTAGACGTTTTTGAAATGATCGAGTCTATGTGATATCTGAAACTAAGAGCACTGTCTATAGTTACACCCAAGTCGCGAATCTGAGTGACCTCCATCAAAGGCTTGCCCTGAATAAAATAAGTACCTGTGGTAGGATAGGACTTCCTACTAAATTTAATATGAAAACATTTATATAAATTATGTTTCATGCCGTTTTTATTACACCAATCATTTATATTATCCACATCATATATATCATACCTATATGTCATTTGAACTGTTGATTGAGCGGTATATTTTTAAATCATCTGCATACATTTTGAATTTAGATGTAATCATTTTGGCTACGTCGTCAATAAAAATTAGGAAGAATAAAGGTCCCAAATGGGATCCTTGTGGGATGCCGGAAGGAACGTTCCTGGTTATTGATTTACAACCACGTATGGCCACCAACTGAGATCGATTTTTCAGGTATGACTCACACTATCTCAAAAGGGATCAATGAATACCCATCCGTTCCCGTTTCAGAAGCAGAAGGTTAAGGTTTACCAGGTCAAAGGTCTTTTTAAAATCATTATACACTGCATGTACCTCTGCCCGCTTATCAACCACATCACAGACATAGTCAACGTATGCATCTAAATTGGAAGCAGCAGAAGCAGAAATCCATGGTCGTTTGCATTTAGAAGACCCTTAACATGGTTATAAATACACCTATGTGCAAAGAACTCGAGGACTTTCCCAACTGTTGATAAAAGAGATATTGGCCTATAATTACTTACTTCGTCAAGAGCACCGCCTTTATAAATCGGAGTAAGACACGTAGTCTTCCAAACCGTGGGATATGTTCCCGAACTAAGAGAGACATTAAATATCACACATAAGGGTTCACATAATTGTTTTGCACAGTACTTGAACAAAATTGGTGGTAACAAATCGGGCCCTACTCCCTTATAGCAATCTAGAGAGGATAAATATTCTAATACTTCGTTTTCGGATACCGAAAAACTACTCAACGCAGGGATATTATTGCCATCGAGAATGCCACGACTAAGAACAATTCAAGCTGTAACATCGTTTTCTTATTAGTCTGGAAATAATGTGAGAATAAGTAGCACATCTGTTGTCCTCCAGTAGCAGTCACATTTATCAATCTTACTTCGTTAAGAATAGACATCCAATTGTTGTTAATGAATTGCCAAAAGTACTTTGGACTGTCACGTAGGTGTTCTTTAGCCTGCTCTTAGAATTTAGCATAGCACTCCTTAATTAAAACATCGCATCGCAGTACTTACTAGTACGAAGTTTATCTAATGGATTATAATATTTTTTATATCTGGAGTGATACTTTGCCTTTTCTTTAATAACCTTAATAAGCGGCCGGCTGTGGCACCATATGGGATATCCAGTGTCTCTCCTGACTTTATTAGGTGTAAATTTATGTATTATTGACATAATGGATTTATAGAATTTGTCCACCATATCATTCACGTCTTTATTGTCACTCCAGATTACGTTCCAATCTAGCAGACTTAACTCATGATTAATGGCTTCGAAGTTACTTGCTCTAAACTTTAAACTAGTATTGTGTTTGGGCTTCATCCATGTGTTACGGTTAGAAAAATGAATGTTAATTACTAAGGGTGAGATGTTCATCTACTTTGTCAAGTAAAGTATCAGAGGCTGTAACGGTGGTCAGATGGTCAGGTTTATTAAAAAAATATCAAGTCAAGTGTTCTCTCGTTTTTGTTCTTAATAGCTTTATACTGAAAAGTGTTATTAAAACAAAACAACAAGACAAGTGACTAACATCCGCATTCTCCACCCGTTCCAAACCGGGTAAGTTGAGGTCTCCCAACACTAATGTTGAAGAAGTCTGGCATATATTGTTTTGAATGTTATGGGTTATATTACTAAGCAACTCCTCTAGGTAGTCGACTTTAGGAGGCGGAGGAACGTAAACTACACAAATATGCAAATCACGACCATGGTAACATTTCAAAGTAACCCACAATTCTTCACACATTAATTCCCAGTTTGTTCGTCTAAGAGACTTATATTACTTACATATAGCCAAAACGATACCTCTACCGTCCTTTTTAGTTTTGTGAGAGGAAGTGGTGCACCGGTCCCTTCTGAATATATTATATCTATCGTCGAGAAGTTTACGGTCAAAAACGGTATCATTAAGCCAAGACTCGGTCAACGCTATGTCGTCGTAGTTGTTGCGTCCTCGGTCTTGGTTCTTAATCCCCTAACATTGGCCTAATATATTTCTCAAGACATAGTAACGAAAAAAGTATAAAAACATGCATCGACTAAAAATTTCATATTAATACTAAAAATAATGTGTTATAGGTTTTTAGGAAATCCATATTTTTAACTAGCTTAGCAGTCTTTCTGGTCTTTGCGAATGAATATACGACCATTTTTTACCCATACAAACTCATAGCTCTTTTCTTTTGCTAGTGATCGTGTTGCTGCATGAAGTAGATTGTTTACTGGCGATAAATGTTCCGGCACACCGGCTTCTTGCTGGAAGCTATTCCAAGATGCGATGTGTACAATTTGTCTTGTTTGTTATGCTCATTAAAGACCTTAGTCGCAGTCAAGACTGTACCGCGTGTACGTGTAATGGATAACTTCGCTATGATATTTCTGGGTCGATCCAATTTCGAATTCTGTTTGGCCACATGGTGAAGACAAAATTTCATCATCAGGAAAATTGCACGTTACAGTCCTTAAAAGTTGTTGAATGAAGTTGAGCAAGTTTTTATTCTTAAATTCAGGTACAGATTGTATTTCAATATTACATTCTCTATACTGCTGTTCCATTTGTCCTAGTTTTAGACTTAAGTCTGCTACCTGGGCACTTAGAAGAATATTGTCCTTAACCAACTTTTGAACTGTACCTTTCGTCTCTTTGTTCAATTTGACCTGATCATCATGCCACTAACTGTACGGAATCGATTGCCCCGTCAAGATCAACTCCAATTGAAGAACTCTTGGTACTAAGGTCTGCAACTTCTGTTTGCATTTTTGAAAGACTAGAATTAGTCTTTTCGAGGCTGACTTTTGGCGGTTCAAACTGCTTGATCATATCCGACCTCAGGTGCCGAATCTCCTCCAAGATCGCGTCATTAATTCCTTGCGGAGATGGTTGGGATTTACTTATTGATTTGAGCATTCCGGCGGTATGTGCTTGACGTACAGAGGAGCAGTCATCATTTCTTCTCTTAGTCACATTAACGCAAGATGGACACTTTCATTTCACCAATTGTTTGGAATCCATTTCCGTGACACTTTTTTGCTCAATACTAAGACAGGCCAAGCAATATTTAATATTGCAGGCATTGCACTTTAAACGATTATTATCAAGTAATCGCTCTTCACAACCTGCGCAGATCATATTGACAAAGTCAAAATATATCTGCAATAAATAATATTTCTGGGCACACTAATAAATGTCTTCCCACTAATGTTTCTCGCGTTAAATAAATGATGCGCACACTAAAAAAGACCCCGACGCTGTCGTAGTGCAATTGCCGTGAGAAGGTCGTAAGCGCCGTGGAATACGCGGCGCTTGCGCGTTGACTTGAAACGCTTTATTGTGAAGCGCTTTTGATGTAGGTATCTTTATGCATAAGTATTGCACTTTTAGATATTATTGTGTATTCAAGGGACTTCACTGGCACTTTGTAATGTCACTGTGTATGAAAGTAGTATGTATAAAATTATATACTAATTAACACCGAATAAATCACTTTTACGTAAATGAATTAATTTTGGGGATCAAGAATTTATGCTCCCAAGTTGGACAACAGCTCGGCTCGAAAATGAATGCTTTATCTCATATTATCAAATTCTATAATTGCAGTTTTAACATGATCGTGTAACATGGTTAATAAGACACTTACCAACACAACATCTTCAGGTATATTGAACTTCAACTGAACGGATTTTTTTACTGGTGTAGAGTTCGCTTCTAGAGTTTTGTGAGGATACAGAATTTCCTTTGTGCTTAATTCTTTCGATTCTCTGAAATTAAATCAGAGCTATATTATATAATCCATCCGGTATATATTATTATTGACAAAATTAACTATTTCCATTTAAAAGACTACAAATATAAGTGTTATCAACCTAATTTATGCAACATCGAAATTATTAAAAACCACATTAGTAGAAGAGATTTACCAATTACTTATAATTATTACAAGTACATATTATTTATTACAATATAATATTTTCAATCCATAGTTACTTTTTGGGTGTAGTATGATGACTTTCATTCTTCTCTGTCTGGTGTTGAGATATCAAGTCACAAGCTTTGCCGAGTATAACGATCGACACCAAAACTCTTATTGAAATTAGACATATATAAGCTATGAATATTAAAAACACAGCAGCAAAACTGTAAAAAAATTGTTTGTTCTGTCAGACACACTTAAATGTTACGTGATATTTGATAATTTAAAAATATTTACTAAATCAATCAATATCTCACCAAAAGTTTAGTCTACAATTAAAAACACAATATGACATTTTAATTAAAATATACTTTTGTTTTTACTACATTTAACAGACAGAAGCAATGTATTCAAAGTACAATGAAAACTGCATATTCAACTCACCCATCAATTTTAACAGCATGGACTAATACCCTTGTGATAACAACTCCCAAAGGTAGTGGTATGAATCCCATCCTTCTAGCCACAAGATCCGAATGGTCACTGAAGGCATATTTCTGTCTAGTTTGTGCGACGTCATATGCTAAACTAACTGTATACTCTCTGTATACTCCATACGGAATTTCATTAAATCTGCAATTTGTTATATAATACATGTCTTGCTTAATAAGCGACGAAAGAATAGCTATTTTGGACTTTATTATATGTCTGATTGAACTGCATTTATTTCTAAGTACGTGACTCGTTAATTTGTTTAAAGAATCATCAGCATTTTTATTTTGACTTTAAAAATATGGTATAATAATACTACACTTATTTAAGGCAAATATGTACATAACATGAAGCTAATAAATAATATCAAATCAAATCATTTTATTCGTTATCATGGGTGCAATAGAGATGATAACATTTATTTTATGGTCGCCGTTTTATGGTGACGTACCATTAAGGCATACGAATGATACTATTATTATTAATTATACTTATCCAATACTTCCAAATAATAATAATAATAATAAAATAACACTAATAATTATCATTAAATAGTCATAAACCACTGATTATAGGCTTCCACCTTCACAGGACCTAGTCTTAAAATCTACAACAGTTAGGACATCAAAACAAAAGTAATTTAATTAAGATAATAATCAATGTAAATAAATCAATGTCATACAGTCACGTTCGTCTCAATAATAAATAATAAATTAATTAATGTGAAATTAGTTAGCAAAATTCCTTTAAATTCCTTTAATGATTTTTCAATTAAATATTCAAATAATGTGCGTTTAAATTCCGCGAAATTTTCATTCTGCCTTACCTGTAATGGCAATTTATTATAGATTTATGGTGCCATTGCAATTACACTCTTCTCAAATAGTGACGTTTTACAATTTATTTGGCGTAGTTGGTTAGGACGTCGCGCCGCTCTTGTAACTACAGGAAAAAGTTGTGGGTGTCGTCGTATAAATAAGGCTGTTTCATAGATATATAATGAAGGCAAGGGTAAAATTTTTAGTTCTCGAAAATAGTTTCTGCAACTGTCGGTCTGTTTCAGTCCACAGATGTCCCTTATGCATCTCTTTTGAGCTCGAAAAACTTGTATTATGTTGCTACTATTACCCCAAAATAAGATACCATATCTGAGTGTTGCAGCTACGTAGCTGTGGTAAGTTACAAGTAAAGCGTTTTTGTTTACCACCTTAGACAATTTAAAGAGAGCGTATAATTGTTTCGATAGCTTGTTACATATTATTTGAAGTTGTTCCTCCCATTGCATTTTCCTATCAATGTGAAGTCGTTCCCGATGTTTCACCGATAACACGAGAATTATAAATTAATTTGTTTGTCAAAGAGTTATTGCCCCTTTGCTTGAAATTCATAAATGTCGTTTTGTCAAGATTTAGTAATAAATTATTAAATTTAAGCCATGTCATTACATTTGTTAGGGATTTTTTTATTTCAGTCTCATTTTCAAATAAAATAGTACAGTCATCAGCGAATAAAGTTATGTGATTTGGAATTGATTTAGGCAATTCATTAATATAAATAATAAACAGCAATGGACCTAGAACACTACCTTGTGGAACCCCATATTTTACTGGTCTAGGAGAAGATTCGTAAATAGTTTCTGTTTTTGTAGTTAAAGAAATTCGACTGATTTGTGTTATTTGTGTTCTGTCACTCAGATATGATTTTAATAAGTTTTGAGTATTTCCGCGTATACCATAAATTCCCAATTTTTGCATTAATATATCATGATCCACATAGTCAAAAGCTTTTGACATGTCCATGTACAGTGCCATTACAGGTTTTCTTTTGTCCATTCTACTGTAAATAATGTTAAAAAATTCATATATTGCAAGATCAATGGATTTATTCTTACGAAATCCTTTTTGTTCGTTACAGAATATATTATTTGTTTCAAGGTAGTCATAAATACTTTTAGAAATAACCTTTTCAATAACCTTGAGAATACAGGTGTTAACGCTACAGGTCTATAGTTTTTCATATTATTAGGTTCGTCTTTTTTAAGAATTGGTTGAATAATGGTTGTTTTTAGTTTAGATGGAAATACCCCTTGTTCTATGCTTAAGTTAATAATGTGACTTAAAATAGGTGAAATTAATTCAGATACAAATTTAATTATCTTTGTACTTAACCCATCATATCCTGTACTGTTTGTGCTCTTAAGATCTCTTATAATTTTACTGACCTCTTCCGGGCTAACAGGTCTTAAAAAAAAATTATTTGTATCCATCATATTTACAAAGTTTTACACTATCATGTGAGCAACGATTCACTGGTTGTACCTGATCTATAAAATAATCATTGAAATTTTGAGCAATCTAAGTAGGGTTTGTAATATTTGATCTATTTACAGTTATTTTCGTAATGTCATACTTTGGCATCTGCTGCTTAGTACTATTATGTAAATTTATCCACTTAAATAACATATATTTATAAATATTGTTTTGTTGTTTTGTTTTACATTCTCAACTGAGTACTCCCGTAGTCCAACTTACCAACACCGGTTAATGTCCTATTAGAGCTTAGCGAAAATTTTTTTTTTGTTTCGTTTTTTTTCTTTCAACTGTGACATTGGCAAAATCATCAGTTCTCATATTGATGGAGCCATAAAAATAAAAAGTGAAGTGAATAACGGTCCATGTTGCCTTTGGTTTATTTTTAGAATTAAGTATATAATAGTTATTTTGAGATGCTTGCGTTAATTTTAAAATTCTTTTAAATTTAGAAGAGTACCTAGTTACGAAATAATTCCAAGTCATGTTTGATTTTTGAAATTCGATATTTCCATAACAAATTTCTTCTACGCTTACTGCATTTATTTATGCCCTCCGAAATCCACTTGGGTTTTAATTGAGTACTAATTCTTCTTCTCATAAAAGGGAAGCATAAATCGTACATTAGTTTGAATAAATTAAAGAACTCAGTATATGCTTTATCAGCATCATTGGATGTTCAAAACTTCATTAAAACTTAACTGTGCTAGATGTTGGGCAAATTAAAAAATATAATTATATATAATTTACCTAGTAATAAAAGCATGCTTAACCCAATCAATGATGACCTCAAAAGTAAGTACAAGCACGCAATCTGGTGCTAGAATCCAGAAACGCTCCTCTCTCCAAGTGAACTCTTTCATAGTCTGTAGAACAACTATGAACAACAGAACAGAAAGGTGGAGTCTCTCCCTTACGTCACTGCAAGATACTTGGAACAGATTGTTCTTGTCAAATTTCTTGAACACACTGCCTTTGAGTTCCACGAACTGCAATATACAGATCAGTTTTTGAACAATTTTATTATTTAATCAGGGTACAAGGTAATTTATACCATAACTTAATGAATATTACAAAAAAAGACATTCAAAATATAGCTATCATTTGTTCATAATGGGGTACTGTCAATAATCTATAATAACTTTTTTTAACATTTTGCCATTGACCTACCAATAAATGGACGTCGGGTTCGCGCTAAAAAGTGTCCACACCTGTAGGGCGTTAAAATCGCATACAGAGCGTCAATTGCGCAATAGTCTTCGTTTGTTCGAGTGACAGCGCGGTTGTCAATCATGTAGTACCAATATATGCAGTACAAATAATAACTTGTAAAAATTACTGCAGTAAAGTGTGAAAACAGGATTTTGTATCATATTTTCACTAAACAAATATATTGTGTTATCATCATTGACTTACAAATAAATGGACGACGGGTCTAATACAAAAACCACGAAAAAAATGTCCCAAGTCAACCTATTCGAAATTCAAATTGTTATGTCATCGCAGTATCGCGCTGTCCGTAGAACAAATGAAGACTAAAGCGGAGTGTCGCGCTCTGTATACGATTTTAGCGCCTTACAAGTGCGGACACTTTTTAGCGCGGACCCGACGTCCATATAATTGTAAGTCAATGGTTATCATACTTGTAATTGAAAAGTTTTATTTTGTACAGTTTTATAGTATTTAATTTATATATAACTGAATCGTAAATATAAATTACAAAAGCACACGAAATAATGAAATAGCTAACTGTCTTTTTCTACTCATTGCATGCGCAAAAGATGGAAAGAGACCAATTATGTCAGTTTCAAGAAATATAAACTTCTTGGTCATTTTCAATTGTTCGAGGCACAAGCGATTGAAATATTTAGAACAAAGAAACTATAGAGTTGCTTTGATTTTAATCCTATTTTTAAAATGATTTTTTTTATTAAACGTTAGCAATAACTAACAAAACATTGTTTTACTCGTTTTACGGCATGGAATTACCTATCAGAAGTCAGAAAATACATTTGCCCGAAATAACATTAGCTCGAATTTTCATAATGTGTTTTTACGATGATTACAAAACAAAAGCTAATATTGTCTATGTAAAAAGCATCAAAATTACTCGAAAGCGTAACGGTTTTGTTATAAGTCGGTATTACGGATATTTGAGTTTACGTTTAGTTAGAATAACGGCACATTTCTTATAGTACACGCTTATTTTCACATTTGTAGAAATAATCGTATGTATGTTTTACTCTCTCAACTCTTTATTATACCTTTAAGTGTGTACAAAATTCGACATAATAATATATATAAAAAAATTAATTGATATTTACGAGAAAGGCTATTCCATTACTCTTGTGTTCAAATAATTGTCAGTCGAAGCTAAATATAGTGCATTTTGTTAAGTTTCCAGTAGAAGCTGAATATGGTGTTTTGGGGTCCTTAAATTGTTGTAAGCAAATTTAGCAATACTGCAAAGACGTTACAATTTAAATTAAATGTTTTAGTTTTTTATATTTCGTTACATGTCACTACGTTTGTATAGGTTAACCTCGGACATTTTTTTCGTGGTTTTTGTATTAGACCAGAAGTCCATTTGTTGGTAGGTCAATGCATTTTGCTTTATTTATAATGTGTGTATTCCTGCAATTAGTATTGTAGCTTTGAGATATAAATTATACACATATCATATAAATTATATTGAATGATGAATATATATATATATATATATATATATATATATATATATATAAATATGTGAATATAATATATGTGACAGTTTATATTCATTATTTTACAAAAGACTCATTTATTGTAATAACTAGAATAAAAACTCACATTGTTTGACATCATTATGATCAGCAGACTCTTGTTATTCGAATTGAAGGCCACATTTAATGTAGTGGCTTGGAACAAAACTAGCAAACTGTGGAGAACTGGCCATTGAGTTAAGAATAATGTAGTATTCAATTTAATTTGATTATTTAAACATACAACACATAAACATATACTATACATATAAATTTGTGTAATAATACTCCTTCAATTATTGCAATAAGAGCTTTAATAAACAAAAACGAACTAATTTCTAAAGTCTAAATAAAGTCTATCAAACCAGTGTTTTTTAATCATTGATAATGATAATATATGTAAAAGTTGTTAGTAGGAAAGATTACTAAGAAAATTTAATTGTGGTATACTGTGTACTTCTATTGTTATAATGAGATTAAAAATTTCACTCAGGATGCAAATCCATAATTAAAAATTTCATTATCTTTTTAATTTTTTTTTTCTTTGCACACTCATAACACTAGGGAAACCCTATATCTTGGGTGCCATGGATACACACATAGATAACCACAAATTACACCCAAATTCATGAGAGAAATCCTTTAGTAACAATAGAGCTCCTTGTGAAAGAGTTTGTGCAAGTAAGCACTGCCTTTACCTTACCTATTTCTGCCATCAGCATTACTGTGTTCAAGTTTTGAAGGGTAAGGGTGCTGGTGAAATTGCAGGCACATGAGACTGGTCAACTTATGTCTCAGAGCCACACCCCTCAAATTATTGCGATTTATAGTTCTGAGTGGCAATGCAACTGTTATGGACAGGGGTGTAACTTACCATAAGGCGCACAACTGTCTGTCCTGTCACTTGATATTATAAAAAAAAATTATGTAGGCTGTACAAATATTTCTCTCAGCCAGGGAATTGAACCTGGGACCTCTGCATGGTAATCCAGTATGGTAACAGTTCGCCACTGAGGCAGTTTTTTCATCAAGGTATCAATTCATTTTGATAGATTTATATCAGTATTTTAAAGCTCCTTATGATTAGTAGTATTAGTAGAGCTCCTTGTAAAAGAGTTCATCCAGTGAAGCACTACCACCTTACATAATTCTACCACCAAGCAGTAATGTGAGCATGCTCCATGTGTGTGTTCTGGTTTGGAAGAATAATTCAAAGAGATTTACATCACAAGGTCGATGACACCCAAGGGTTACAGGCCTTATTAAAAAAACCATAAAAACGTCTATCAAACCATTGAAGTCACCAAGCCACATTGGGCCAGTATAGTGAAGCTTAAACCCTCTCCATGAAGCATGAGTAAGATTTAATAAACTACAGTAAAGTTTCTACAAAAATTTCACAACTGTTGCTGCAGCTTCAAAAGGATACACACATAGGTCATTGCAAACAGCAAATGTGGAATGACACCCAAATGCTCTCTTCTCCTATCCCTAGGCTCCGTAGCTGTCCAGAACAGTGCATCTATAGTATCCTGGCCAAATGCTGAAAACAATCTGTCTCCAACTTCAAGCATATTATAGAATATGTACAGCTTCATCACAGACTGACTTTTGACCAAATGGTACATCATATTTGTGTCTATGTAGCACATAAGTATGCTACATATCAGAAGAATGAACCCCTTGAGCATATCACAAGTTTCTGCTGGTTTTAATATATTTTTGCGTGTAGCATACAAACTGAAATAATATATTTAAGTTCATTATAGTTATCAAGTGTCTAATAAAATTTAAAAGTAAAATAATATGGGCACTGTTAAATACAAACAAACATTTACCCAAAACATTTCCTAAATAGCCTAGTAAAGAAAGACCAAAATGCCATAATAAATCTCAGCGGGAGAAATGTGTACACAAACAGCAGTGAATCTGCGCATTGGAAGAATCCATATACCATAAACTTCTCAAGTTCCTGTGGTATTTTTATAAAAGAGTACACCTTCTCCCTCCTAGCTGAGAATCTTTCTTCGTCATGTTCAAGCAAATAACCTCGCGTCAACTCAATATGCAGAAATGCAAATAAAGATGCTGATTTATCGCCATCTGCAAATTTACCAACATATCACATTGTATACAAATAGGAATTACGTTCTGATGGTACAATCTATAAATTGAATATATACCCTTTGTTTTCAAGTCCTTGGAACATTTAGAATCATCGATATTGGCAGAAGAATGCTGAATATTGGTTAAAGGCTTGAACCGTAACCGTTTAGTATGTTCTTGTAAATCTTCATTTTTCACCACCATCTTGACGAAACTGATATTTGCATTACAATATTAGAAATATGTTTGTACTGTAGAAAATTTTGCTGCTAAAAATTAAAGAATTATTGATAAAATCGAGAGTAAAAATACGAAAAAGATTATTATCCGCGCTGCAACATTTTTTGACAACTTGTCATATGTTGTGAAAATAATGTCATTTTTTATCAATTTTTATTTTTTTTTAAGTTTATGGCCCGGCTGCAAAATGTGTTTAGTTTGGAAAACGGAAAGAATACTGTTGGATAATTTTCCGAAGAATTTCAAAATAGTGGTAATTTTTCCGGAACATTCCCGAAAAATATAATTTCGAAGGCTCATATTATGTTCTACGTCAGAGAAATATCTTTTGAAAAATCATATTAAAAAAAAATATATTATAATTATTAATACAAAGATCGAACACTCAGAAAAAATTAGTGGAGTAATTTCACCAAAAATAATTGAATATCAATTCAATAAAAATTTAATGAATATATATATATTTCAGGATATTTTTCCTTTAATTTTCCACATTTGACGTTGACACCTATCAAAAGTTGAAGTTATTGAACAAAAACGATGAAGCCATTAAAAAGCCTTTTTTCGCTGTTCTGAAATCATTATAAATCTCATTTTTCTTGTGGCTTTTAGCTATAACTTATATAGCTTTTAACTGCCTCAGTGGCCGAACGGTTACCATACCGGACTGCCACGCAGAGGTCCCAGGTTCGATTCCCGGGCCGGGAGAAATATTTGTATGGCCTACATTTATTTCCCTTGTGAGTTTGAATGTAATTTGTGGTTGTCTATGTGTAGGCACCTGCGACACAGGGTTTCCCTAGTGCGGGGCTATGTTGAGTGTGTGCGTTATATTTATACAAGTATAAGCTTACAATAATGTAATCCACGCTGAATAAAACTTCAAAAGATATATCTAATCATAGAGCCTGCAAAATTATATTTATCAAATTTTTCGTAAATTTTTCCGAAAAAGTTTCCACTATTTGAAATTTTTCGGAAAATTATGCAACAGTACCATAAATCATACATTATAATAAGCTATAAACAGTACACAAGCCACTAGGCCACACACAAATTAGAAAGATATATGCACTAGGCCGCCCTAAAGAAAGTAGTAATACTGTTTTATTTTGTCACAGCAACACTGAGGTTTTACGCGGCACGCCACGGACGAAAAACCATGAATTAGTGCCGTAAATTAACTAAAATCGTGTTAACTAATAGTAAAATATTTATATCATCATAAAATTCTTGTACAGCTACTCAGCTAGTGGGTATAGTGCCTACTAATCGCAATTATGGCGTCAAATGAAGGTCGAAGCGTTCAGTCCAACTTGCATCAGCAAGACTTGTCGAAATTGGTGAGTTTACGCTGCTACTTCTTCTGTTTAGTAAACTATATGCTCTACATATCACATACAGCATCACTTACACCGGTAGACATATATACCACGTAGTTCTGCAACATAACCTATGCTTATAAAATTAGGTTAGAAAGTAGATCCTGCCTATCTGTTGTAATATATGGTGTAACACATTTTCCATTCTAGGATGTAACAAAGCTGTCTGCGTTGTCTCCCGAAGTGATATCAAGGCAGGCGACTATAAACATTGGCACGATTGGTCATGTAGCTCATGGAAAGTCCACTGTAGTAAAAGCCATCTCAGGAGTACAGACTGTCAGATTTAAGAATGAACTGGAGAGAAATATTACCATTAAATTGGGTATGTATTCTTGAAATTATAGTATTAACTTTAATTAATAGTAGTGTTTGTTATAGTAAAATAATTTGTTATTGCTTACATTGTTGTCAAATACTATATTTTTGTTAATCACTTATTGTTTTTGTATAGTGATTTCATTTAACTCCCAAAAACGTGTTCAGTGAATATTTCCCTGTCCCTTTGGTATATTGCTGATTATCTCACAGAACTGCAAAATTGCAATTTTGTGCATAAATGTTATATATATCTTACTGTATATTTCATTTCTTGGATTGTTTTATTTCCAAACTTCTATTAATTGTATTATTATGTATATGTTTTTAATTTCATTTTGTAATTCTGGTTTACTTATTACCACAAACACATTTAAAACTTTCTATTTCCCTCTTGAATTTCTACACAGCTGCTTTGCAATATATCATGTGAATTTAATAGAAAATATAAAGTCTCAAATGTTTTTGAAAGATTTAATTTGTCTCATTATGAATTCTTGTTGGACATATTTTAATCAAATCACATGGTATGTTGCAGAGCGCCTGTCGGACTCAGTTGTAAAGTTATGCCATGAGAGGGCAGATGAAAAACAAGAAAGCATATTCTTGGAAAAACTAATGAGATGTAAAAAGAGAAACCTTTCTTTGGACCCTGAGGAATCTGATGAAGATCCTCTACCCAAAAAATTTAAAAAAGGGAAACAAGCTGCTGAAGAGTTTATTATTGAGAAAATCCTCAAGTTTAAATATGAATGTGGCAAAGAATACTTCTTTATAAAATGGAAAGGATGGCCTGACAGTGAAAATACTTGGGAGCCAATTGAACATCTTGATAACTGCCCAGCTGTTGTAAGAGAATTTTTAGATAAGCAAGAATTCAAGTACTGTGATAAATTTGAAAATTTTAAAGAAGAGATTTCATTTGGTAATTTGTTAAGTGAAAATACTTTGATAGAAAGGTTGCCTGAAGTTGAAACTGCTGAGTTAGCCAAATTAAAAGAACAATTGATACTCAAATTACTGTGTATGTTGTACCTAAAAGAAGATGATGAACACCTTGCTGCCAATCTTGTGCAAGAAACAAGAAATGTATTACAGTTGTATGTGCTTACCAGAAAAAGATGCAAGCAACTCATGGCTCTGAAAGCTTGGGAGGAACATGTTAACCAAGTGGACAAAAGTAAAAAACTTGCTGTGGAAAACAACACTGACTTAGCTGGTCCTCCAGACAATTTTACCTACATAAACCAATCAATTCCTGGTGCTGGTGTCACAATACCTGATGACCCTCCTATTGGTTGTGATTGCATAGCTTGCAACTGTCGTTCTAAATCTTGCTGTGGCATGCAAGCAGGTTTGTTTGCTTACACAACAAAAAAAACGTTGCGCGTTGCCTCCGGCACTCCCATCTATGAATGTAATAAAGCATGTAAATGTTCATCAGAATGTAGCAATCGTGTAGTCCAAGGAGGTCGCAATGTAAAATTAACTGTATTTCGAACATCAAATGGCTGTGGATGGGGTGTACGATCTGAACAAAGAATTAAACAAGGACAATTTATTTGTCAGTATGTTGGAGAAGTTATTACTTTTGAAGAGGCAGAAAAGAGAGGAAGGGAGTATGATGCTAATGGATTAACATACTTATTTGATCTCGACTTCAATTCTTGCGAAAATCCGTATGTAGTTGATGCTGCACATTTAGGCAATGTTTCGCATTTTATTAACCACTCTTGTGATCCGAACTTGGGAGTTTGGGCTGTATGGGCAGATTGTCTGGATCCAAACTTGCCAATGTTAGCTTTATTTGCCACTCGTGATATTGAGGCTGGGGAAGAAATTTGCTTTGACTACTTACAAAAATCATCAGACAATGACGAAAGTGACATGAACAGTCCCTCAGTAAGCAGAGAGAGCACAGCTGACGATGATGATATTAGTATCGCTAATGGATCTGATACAGGCCGAGCAGGCTCGCCTATGACCCCGATAAAGCTTGGTGCAAACATGTCAACATCTCCAGTGAAGACGAGATTCGAAGTACGACAGCAAAACATGGCGATGCTAAGAAATCGCACAGAATGTAAATGTGGTGCTGTGAAATGCCGAAAATATTTGTTTTAAAAGACAATATCCATTTAAATTTGTCCAACAAAATTTAACACTTTATTATATCAGTGTTATTATAATGAATTCCAAGTTCATGCAATGACCAGTGCTGTACAAAGTAATATCTAATCTACACGCGCAGAGATATGGTTAAATTTTGTACGGACAAATATTAATCTGCAGACTTTTTGCATAGCTGTCATCATGTCTGTACTTGTATAAACTTTTTAAAAAGAACTGTTACAAGAAATGAAGATGAATCTCGTATAGTGAAAAATTACGTTCATTTTCAATATATCGCAGTCTGTGGCATTGGATAATGAATTTCCTATTAACTTTTGATGAATTTTTATGTTTACATCGTCATTAAGTTTGTATTATGATTATATTATACTGATTATTAATGTTAATGTTGATAAGTGCACTTATTGTTACTGAGGTGCTAATTACTTTTTTATATTAATGTGGCTTTAAATGGGCTGAAACTACTCAAATAATATGGTTTGAGTGCCCAAATCTGCCCTCGGAACGAAAAAAGGCGCAACTGCTGTATAAAGTATCCATAGTTGTGCCTTTTTTCGTTACGAGGGCAGATATACACCCCTTGCGAATGCAATTCATGGGCAGTACCGTCATAAGGTTGCTTGGATGAATATTATCAAAGCCGAGTCTTACAATGAGAATGTTATGTACTGAATACATAAATAAGAATGCATATTTTGTGACTTAGTACTTTTAATAATAAGTTTATTATGTTAAGCTATTTACTGATTGCCTGTTTACAATTTTCCTTACATCATAAGGACATATAGAAAGTATTAAAATATGAACAAAATATAATACATTGTGTATAATTTTTCATTTAAATAATTGGTGTCCTTTCGTCATCTTTAATTGACGCCTTTTAGGTTACGCCAATGCAAAAATCTACAAATGTGACAATCCTAAATGCAAGCGACCCACAAGCTACATCTCAGGGGGTTCATCGAAGGATGATAGCTTCCCGTGTCTTCGCGCATCTTGCACCGGTCGCTTCCAACTCGTGCGACACGTGAGCTTTGTCGACTGCCCAGGGCACGACATTCTTATGGCCACCATGCTTAACGGTGCCGCTGTCATGGACGCCGCGCTTTTACTTATTGCTGGTACGTGTCGCCATACAGCATAACTATTTATTTTATAAAAGCAAAACAAGTCATCACGTTACCGTGTAGTTTAGCAACAAATTTGCTTTTTTTATATGTAGCTTATATTTTAGTATTCTCGTGCACCATACCAGCAGGGCTCAAGTTGTAGCACAAAGTACCTGTCTAAAACAAACCTTTTTTGAAGTGGAAAATATACAGTGCCCTTTTCAGTAAAGTACTTTTTTTATAACATTCAATGACGGGATGAAGTAGTCGTACGCCTGATGGTAAGCTACACGCCTAACCATAACAATTTATAGTGTCCTCAGAGTTTTAAATCGCAAAAATCTGAGGAGCACTGCCACTGCGCCCGTCACCCTGAAGTTGACAGGTCCCATGTTAATGTAATTACACCAGCACCCTTACCCTTCAAAACCGAAACACAGTAATGCTAACATTACTGCTTGGCGGCTGAAATAGGTGAGATGGCAGTGCTTCCCTGCACAAACTCTTTCACAAGGAGCTCTACTGCTACTTACGTACCCAACGACATTTCTAAAACGGTACCTTCATACCTTGTTATAGGTCCTTACTGTATGCTGTAGTTTTGAGAATAAGTACACTTTTACGCATTAACTTTTTAGTTTGGTTACTATATGAATAGGACAGCTGATACTAGAATTGTTAGTTTAATTTTTTTTCACTATCCTATGGCGTCCTGCTAGACAAAGGTCTTCCGCAAAATCCTCTACTCCCCGCCTTGGCGATTTGCCACCACTCCTCAGACCCATGGAGATAGTTTGTTTAGTTTATTATGTAATTGATTTAATTTTTTTCACAATTTAAAACAAGCTAAATGTTTGAGGCGTAACCATGTGTAAAATGATGAAAATATATTTATTATACCGATGTCATGTAATCAGATCTAAGCTACGTGTTGTAGTTCTCGAGATTGAGAAATGGTGCTGCTGGAATAAACTTATTCCACAGTGGACAGTAAAACACCCTTATAACTTTTGAACGGCGGACCGACTAAATCTAGTTTTTTGCGACTAGAACACTAGAACGGACTAAATAGCGACTTTTTATTTGACTAGTCATATTTCAAAAATTCGATCATGGTTACGCTGGAATAAGACACGCGAGCTTAATATTGTTATTTTAAAGTCAGCTGTCAGACTTCTCGCTACAGTAAACAAATTATACTCATATTTAATAATTTTCTACTACATCTAAATCAAGTTTTTTTTACAATAACATTTAATTTTACTAGGAAATGAGTCCTGCCCCCAGCCCCAAACTAGTGAACATTTAGCTGCGATTGAAATCATGAAGCTGAAGCACATCCTCATACTGCAGAATAAGATCGATCTTGTGAAAGAGGGCCAGGCGAAGGAACAATATGAGCAAATTGTCAAGTTTGTACAGGGCACTGTTGCGGAAGGCGCTCCCATTGTCCCTATATCTGCTCAGTTGAAGTACAATATTGAGGTAGGTATCTTAATGTAAACTGTAAAGAAGTACGAATGAAATTTCATAATACTAAACTATTTTACCTATAGAACCCATATTATGTAATTTTCAAATGATTTTGCAACTGTTCTCTATTGAAGTGGGATTGCGATTTTATAAGAAAACATTGTTCAGTTTCAACCCTATGAAATAATACTTTTTAACAGCAAGTGAAGTTGTCGTAATATAAATTACTATTTCAATAAAATAAATAAATACGTACCCTCATCGCGTCTACGCTTTCTGACTGCTCTGCGCAGGCCGCGTTCAGCTCAACTGGATATAAGGTCAAGCACCAGAGAACGATCCACTTCTTTGTAATCGTCATCCTCCTAAACTGCTCCCAACGAATTTTTGCAGGCTCCGCGAACGTACAGTGTATTTTTTTAATCAATCATTCCATTGCAACCTTCGTTATTTAAAATTCACGACATATGGAAAGAAAACAGAACTACATTTCTGGTCCTCACCATGCAAAGAACTGCTAAAGACTTCAAAAAAACTCGACTATCGACAAGTCTCCCTGTAACTCCTATGGTTTTTTTGCTATCCCAATATATCTGTGGCTTGGTACAAGATGTGCCGACGTCCATACTACTTACGCACTCTGTACCAAACACAGTTATCATGCTGTGTACGTAACCGGCATGGCGGTTAAAACTAATATATTTTTGTTTTCTCAGGTGCTGTGCGAATACATAACAAAGAAGATTCCTGTTCCTTTGAGAGATTTCACGTCGCCCCCGCGTATGATTGTGATCCGTTCGTTCGATGTGAACAAGCCAGGTTGTGAGGTCGATGACCTTAGAGGCGGAGTCGCAGGCGGCTCCATTTTGCAGGGTGTTCTCAAAGTTGGAATGGAGATCGAGGTGATGTATATCATAACACTATGTAGCTGAAAAATATAATGTATGACTAAAGTTGTAACAAGAAATCTCAAAAAATGCATAAATAGTAAAGTCAATATAATATTTGTATTTTTTTTTCTTGTATAATATCAAGTGACGAGACGAACAAATCGTGCGCCTGATGGTAAGCTACACCTGTCCATAACAGTTGCAGTGCCACTCAGAGCTTTAAATCGTAAAAGTCTAAGTCGTAAAAAAAATCGTAAGTCCCATGTGCCTGTAATTTCACCAGCACCGTTACTTACCCTTTAAAATCTGAACACAGATTACTGTGTTCCGATTTTGACATTACTGCTTGGCGGCAGAAATAGTTAAGCTGGCAGTACTGGCCTGGACGAACTCTTTCGCAAGGAGCTCTACTCAGACATTTTTAACTCTTTGTTGTTAAATAGTCTATATGTATGTATTGTTCTGTATTAAAAAGTTTTAATTAAAGTAATTTGTTTCATGCTTATTTCTTGTTCTATAACTTATTGAATAATGTGGCAGGTTCGACCGGGTCTAGTAAGCAAAGACGCGGACGGCAAGCTGACGTGTCGACCGATCTTCTCGCGAATCGTGTCTCTCTTCGCGGAGCAGAATGAGCTCCAGTATGCCGTACCCGGTGGCCTCATCGGAGTAGGCACCAAAATTGAGCCCACGCTTTGTCGTGCTGACCGTTTGGTTGGCCAGGTATGCAACTGTTCTAGTTCCATTATCATGTTTTTGCAAAGAAAGTACGCTACGGGCAATCATTGACTAAAAATAACTAATATCTTTTACAGACATCTATAACATTAAATGTGAAATGAAATACCACCACTAATTTAAAGGCCAAAAGTTACTCGAGAGACTACTCATTTTGTGTTGTAGAATCCATCATTTTAATTTCAAATTGCCTGGCTAAATGCTTTGCAAAACGCTACAATTTTATTTAAGAAGAAACTCTTTTCTCTTATTGGCGGAGCCCCGGAGCACCGAAGCGCGGGAAATAATAATAATAATTTTATTTTCTTTTACAAAACATTTGTTGTCTGCAAAGGTTCGTCTTGTCCATGTTCATCTTAAGACCCACTCTTTGGGAAACAGTACTGAGATCTTCGAGCATTGTGTTCAGGAGACCAAGGTCTCAGCCATAAGAACCTTGGGAGACCAAGGTCTCAGCCATAAGAACTATATCATCGGCAAATCGAAGGTGTATTAGATACTCGCCGTTGAGGTTGATGCCAAGTCCTTTCCAGTCCAGAAGCTTGAAAATATCCTCCAACGCAGCAGTGAACAATTTCGGAGATATCACATCTCCCTGTCTGATGCCTCGTTGCAGTTGGATAGTATAGTAATGAAACGTAAAAAAAAATATAACGTGGCCTTTTTTGGATAAGTTTGTGAAATCATATCGCAACATTTTATTACTGGGTGATACTAAAACAAAAAAAATACACGTGTGTTATGTTATATTTTCATCAACGATCATAATATTAAAATTCACCGTATATAATATAAAAAATCACCCTGTGTATTATTTTTTTACTAAGCACTTTTAGATAAATGGTGCTTATATCGACACCGGTAATGGCGAAAATTATTATTTGCGCAAGGGGGAATGTGGTAATTTTGTTGTTATTCTCCATAGTATCTCAATATGCCTCTGTGGCCGAACGGTTACCATCTGACTGCCACGCAGAGGTTCCAGCCTCGATTTCCGGGACAGGTGAAATATTTGTATGGCCTACATTTATTTGCCTCGTCGTGAATTTGGGTGTAATTTGTGGTTGTCTATGTGTGTGTCCATGGCACCCGCGACACAGGGTTTCCTTAGTGCGGGGCTATGTTGAGTGTGTGCGTTATTTATTTTATATTTAGTTAATATTAAGTAACGTAATCATTAAAGCAAACTCAGAGAACCTGCTATTTAATGAAAATTGCCTATTAAAGCAATGTCAATATTTTTAGCATATATTTATTGTTAATATTTGGCGCATTTTCACTACTAATTATTTTGCCACAGGTACTGGGAGCTGTAGGTGCTTTACCTGGAATTTTCGTAAAACTTGAAGTATCATACTATTTACTGAAGCGTCTTCTTGGCGTGCGTACCGAAGGTGACAAAAAGGCTGCTAAAGTGCAGAAGTTAACCAAGAATGAGGTTTGTATAAATAGTTATACGTAATATAACAAGCACAGTGTTAGACGTTGGAGTGCTAAAGTGTGCTGGCAAGCAAGGTCCTAACCCTTGTCTGAAAAATTTGCAAAATACACTAAATATTTTCACACCTAAACACAGTACACGTAATATAAACAAGTTTGATTTACACATAATATCAAATCATTTTAAGAGTATTATTTTCAAAAATTATAGACCGAATTATGTAATTGCATGTAAACCCTTTTGAACCATATTATTTTTAATCGTAATGTATATATTTTTTGTAGGTATTATTAGTGAACATCGGATCATTAAGCACCGGAGGAAGAGTGATCGCCACAAAGGCTGATTTGGCGAAGATAGCTTTGACCAACCCTGTGTGCACTGAGATCGGAGAAAAGGTCGCTCTTAGCAGGAGGGTCGAGAACCATTGGCGGTGAGAACCTTTTTTAAAATTACCGCATTGGAGATGCACCACAATAACAACAATATCATGACCTTAGAACACTGGTAAAAATATTATCGATAGTATATACATATACTATTAATTTGTTACATAGTTTTCGTTATCGACACAAAAGGAATAAACGGAATGAAACATTTAATAGTAAAGATAGAGTCTTATTTATTATTACGCCAACTCATGGAATACAATTAACATCTAAAACTGTACTCCTAAAACTTGAGAGAGCACAGCGATCCATTATAAAAGTTGCTCTTTCTCAACCGTATTATTTTCCAACCGATAAGCTGTATGGTCTCCTTGGAGTTTTATCAGTGAGACAACTTTATATTCTTCAAACAGTTCTCAAGAAGCATTCCCTCCTTACCTATGACCCTATGTTACTGTCAGATCGCCGCAGAAAGTTTAATGTCTGCCCAAGAACTGGCTACAAGAAATCATTCGATTTTTCTGCTATATGGGAGGCATGCTTTATAACGAACTAAACAACCGCCTGTCAATTTACTCTCTTACTAGGTATCATTGTAAGTCTGAAATCACCAACTTCCTGAAGAGTCTCGACTACGCATCAACGGAGGCTATGATAGCGTCTCTTCAATGATCACCCTCCTCATACACCATCGTCAAATTTACTCCTTTTTTCCAATTTACTTTACCTACTCTTAATTTCTACCTTACATAGCGCATAATGACTGTCACGCCAGTTGTCATGCGATCCCAAGAACAGGTCTCTAACTACTCGTAGGGCTATGATAGGTGTGGTGTGTCAACATCAAAATCTAATGTTAGGACATTAATTTGGAATGATACCGATACGCACTTTACTACAAGACACATATTCGCGAAGGCAAGCACACATATGCACGAACACACACGCACACACACGCACGCACGCACACACACACACACGCACACACACACACACACACACTCACACGCACGCACGCACGCACGCACGCACACACACACACACACACACACTTATGCGTTTTTATTACTATTCCACTTAACTTTTACAAAGCTTCTCTGAGCTGGAATTAATAAGAGGAGTCATTAACCTTAGACTAGAGGGAGGGACCCTGGTTAGTCATACAGGGATATAACCCTAGTACTGACACCAGACTCTCACAATGTCCTTAACAGTACAAAACTCTGTATTTTAGTCTTAAGTAAGCCTTGTGAGAGTAATAAATTATCATTCATTCATTCATTCAATTATTTTTTTTATAATTACGAGACGAACAATTCGTGCGTCTTATGAAATAGTTCAATAAATGAATTTTTTTGATCCTCTTCAATAACCATTGAGAGTGCCATTATTATCGAGTGTATTGTACGTATTTCGTATCTCTTATCGTGATTACGAAACATACGCAATTTGTTTCAGATTAATCGGCTGGGGACAAATACAAGGAGGTGAAACAATCGACCCCGCGACGAATTAACTGTTGTGTTATTGACATACATAATACTTTTATATTATACTAACATATTTAATAAAACGAAATATGGAAGTATCATTGTTTTCTCTTTGTATAAAGCATAGGTTTCCAAACTTTTTGGCTCACGGCCGCCCACTTTAGACCGGATAAAAAAATTTAAACGCCCATGACACAAAAATTACGTATTTTTTTATATTAAACTTAGTTGCCAAAAAAAGAACGTTGTCTTTTGGTAATGAATGTCACATATGTCACTAGATAAACTATCTATTGCCTCCTGATTGGTTAAAATGTTAGCGGTACTTCATTTTTTTCTTATAATCGTGATAGTAAATGACAACTAAACAATTATTAATTAACTGGTTGTAATTCGTTCACATTGCTTTACCTACAAATGGAATTTACGTTTGTAATAGTGAATTCAAGTAGTCATTAATACAATAATTGTTGTAAAATATTGCTTGCAAAGATAATCCAGGAACCATTGTTGGCATATTCTAAGCGCCAAAATAAGTATTATTAGCAATTACACGGAGAAGTACAACCTTGGTGTGCGGGATGCACCTATGACTGGTTTCAAATCAAACAACGATTCTATATACTGTGAAGATCTGGAGGCTGGCTTTAATCTGGTAAGGTTGGCTGCTGGCTCGTTTTCGGGTTTTTCTATGTATCTCGAGCTTAAGCTGTTTTTGGACTGTGTATCTATTGGCGCCAGTGCGCCTTTTATAGGTAAGCGAGCCTTCCTTTTCCCGCCAAAAGTTACCTCACCCCCTTTGTACTATTTATTTATCTTTCACACGTTAATCTATTACAAATATTTTTCTATTATACATTTCTTACTCCTAATTTGTACATAACGTCTTAAAAACTATATCAGTAGTACATAACAACCTCAGTCAAGCGCGGACTTAAACCACTCGTTGAGTGCAGTCGTACCGAAAACTTGGTAATGATTGGCCACAGTTTCAAATTTAAGAAGAAATAACAAATTCTGGATTGTTAATATACCTAATCTAAACTTTAGCCTGATGCTTATCTATTGAAAGTTCAATACTATCTATACCTATTATTGTAAGTTACAGCGTATTAATTTTATATTGAAATTTCAATAGAACTCAAACTACAAATAGCTGAAAATTAGATAGACAACCTAGTAGCCGAAAATTGTGCGTTAAAAGATCTGAATTTGGAAAAAGACCATAAGATTGAATTACTTCAAGGTCTATGTAAATCCACTCCCTCACGGTCTACGAAAAAATTAAAAAAGATAAATATTAATACATCACAGTTAGAGTCAGATAAACGTAAAACGGAAACATTTTTAAATAAATTACCTGATGAGTCACAGGAATTAAAAAATATTGAAACAGAGCGAATACAAGAACTTCAAAGTTCACCCAAGTCCATACAACAACGTCAATTACACTCCCCGAATAAAAAACCCACGAGAAAATATTTCAGAAAAATTTGTATACAAATAGCGAGGCAAGCCATCAAATTCTCAAAAAGGCTGAAAAACATTTTGAAGAGACACTACTATGCCATTATGTAACACCAGGCAGGTGGAGGAATACACCAAATTCTGAGCGGCATAGAAACAAATCTGGAGGGCTTTACACATGACGACTACTGTTTAATATTCATCGGGGAAACAGACTTTCAAGTGTCAAAAAATTTTTCTATGTTGATAGATTATATCCGAGACAAATTATTAACAGTTCAACATACAAATATAATTATTTGTTCACCTACGCAGCTACGTATAAATACTACATCAATCTGTTTAACAAAAGAGTCGAAGTATTTAATAACTTATTGTATTTAGATAATTTGAATTTCGAGTACGCTTACCTAATTGATTGCAACAAACATTTGGAATATTCAACATACATGTTCAATAGAAAAAATGGACGTACTAATAAACGAGCACTCGATGTAATATTTAATGATGTACCTACTTGAATTAATAGAAGGAATTACTAATTATACCTTGGAAAACAGCACACTATCAATCCATCCTTAGAATTTTTTCGTTAACAATGCCGCAAAAATAAAATATTTCAGTATACTACATCAAAATATACGTAGCGTACTTAGAAATGTGTCTGAATTAGAAGCAGTGTTAGACGAGTTATTACAAAATAACAATGCCGTTGACGTTATATGTCTGACTGAACACTTTTTAATGAAGGAACATGAATGTAACCTTCATTTAAATAATTATAGACTAGCTATAAGTTACTCACGCAATAAAAAGAAAGGTGGATCTTGCATACTTTTACGCAAAAGTATTGAACACAAGGAACTTTTAGAAATAAACAAATTAGCAATACACATGATCTTTGAATGTTGTGCAATAGAAGTACTAGCAAAAAACCTTATTATAGTTTGCATTTATCGAATTCCTAACAAACAACATATAGTTCTCTTTTTAAAACAATTAGAACTACTCTTACATCAAGTTAGTAATATGCGAAAGAAAAAAACAATAATTTGTGGTGATTTTAATATAAATATCCTAGATGATAATACCATCAGTCGAGATTTAACTAACTTGCTGCACAGCTTTAACTTCAGATTGGAATTCAAAGATGTGACTAGACTTGAAAGTAGTACGTGTGTTGATAATATAGCTCATAACAGTAGAGGTTGTAAAGGAAAAACACTTCACCTAGGAATATCAGACCATTCTGAACAGTTGCTCATGTGTCCAGTAAACAGTGTTAATACTGAAATGTACTGGTTCATTGAAGTACGTGATTACAGCAAGATTAATTTAAATAAATTCAAAAACTGTCTGAAAAGTATTAATTACGACAACCTATATTCCATACAAGATCCAAATACTGCATATGATACGTTGTATGCAATGGTACAAATGTTCTACGACCTATGTTTTCCGATCAAAAAATTAAAAATTAACACGAGAATGAGACCAAACTGGTTAACAACTGGTATTAAGAAATCTGCCAAACTAAAAAGGAAAATATATTGGACGAGTATAAAAACAAAAAACAAACAATTATATAACACTTATAAAAAAAATAACAGGGGTTAAAGTATGAAATTGCCGATTTGTACTGAAAATCT